TTATAGTTAACCTTTATACATTTGCATAATGAGAGAGGTGCTATTCTAAGTGCAAAACACTTACTACAAGCAATTGTTAGTTGCCAAGTTTCTGCCCATTGTAAAAGTCTATTTAAAGCAACAACTAAATCTTGGCTTAGATCCATATCACAGTACGATTTAAAAGATTACCTTTTATGTTATAGGATGCAAGTTTTACTAATAGTTTGGTATGCGAGACAGAGTCAAACGCTTTTTGGAAATCAATATAGACAACATCCGTTATTTGATGGTTATTGAGTGCGGTGTTCCAATCATTAGCAGATTCTAAGAGATTTGTACTGGTTGAACATTTGTTGAGGAAACCATGTTGATTACGAAATATTAAATTATGACCTAGATTTTATGACATACACATTGATCATTCTTTTCCATGACTCGACAGCAAGTGTATGTCAGTGAGATGGGTCTATAATTATTTGGATCTGCAGTAGCTCCCTTTTTAAAAACTGGAGATACAAAAGCTTGGCGCCATTGTTTAGGTAAAGAACTTGACTTAAAACTGGCATCAAATATAAATGAGAGTGGAATACACAATAGATAAGCTAATTTTTTCAGAAGTATGTTAGGTATGCCATCAGGACCGTACGATTTGAAAATACAAGATCAAGAATATTGTTTTCACGAGTAGGTTCCTGTACAAACTGGTGCAAACTGAGATTGTTGACTAAATTTAAAAAAAGGATAAGATTACTCAGACTTGCAACAATTGGAATAAGATGTAAATGGATGCTGAATAAGCTGTGAATGGATGTCAATTGATTTTGTGATGATAAAATAAAAATTATTGGCTTTTTTTTTTTTTTTTTTTTTTTTTTAACATCTTCACTTCCAACAAGGCTGCAAGCAACCACTATAAGAGTTGGAAGTTACTGGAAGAGAAAAGACTAAATCTGTAGAGCAAGATAACGATTGACTGATGACTTAAAAGATTGCAAATTATATGAATCAGGAAAGCAAGATGAAGGAAGCGAATTCCAAAGAACTGATGTTCGAGGAAAAAAACTAGAAGAATAAGAGTTTTTGAAGCACTTAGGAACAGTCACAGAAAAAGGATGAGACTTAATTGAATGGCGAGTAACACGAGAATGAATTTTAGTAGATGGCACAAGGGACGTTAGCTCTTTAGAGCAGTGCCCATTATAGTATTTGTAGAAAAGAGAAAGAGAAGCAACATTACGACGATGTGACAAAGGTTGGAGATTGGCTGCCAGAGCAGGTCCAACTATGTTTACAATTCGTTTTTGCACCTTGTCTAAAAGAGAAAGAGCATCATTAGAAGATCCGCCCCAGATGTGGCAACAGTATTCCATACAGGGACGGATTTGAGATTTATAGAGATAGAGAATAGAATCTGGAGTAAGAAAGTGTCGAGCTCGATAAAGAGATGCAACCTTAGCAGATGCTAATTTTGCAATGGATTTGATATACGGTTTAAAAGAAAGATCAGAAGTAAGAGTTAATCCTAGAAGATGAATGGTAGATGACTCATCTAGTACATTACCATTCATAAATATAGGAAGATCTAAATTATTACGATAACGATTGGCCGAATAAAATTGAGTTTTATCTGAATTAAAGTTCACCAGCCACTGTGAGCCCCATGCTGTAGCAGAAGTGAGATCCTTTTCAAGCTCAGATACCCCCTCCAAGCAATCAGAGAGTGTAGGCTTCTTATCATGACAAGAGTAAATGGTAGTGTCGTCAGCGAATAATGCCACCTTAGATGTGAGAATATCTGGAAGATCGTTAATGTAAATTAAAAAGAGTATAGGGCCAAGGATTGAACCTTGAGGAACCCCTGAAGTTATAGGATGTGAAGAAGAGTGTTGTCCATCGAGGACAACTTTTATACTACGATTGGAAAGAAAGGACTCAATAATCTTAAAGACGTTACCAGCTACACCATAAGAAGAAAGCTTATGGAGAAGACCAGCATGCCAAACTTTATCAAAAGCTTTAGAAATGTCAAGTGCGATAGCCTTAACCTCTCCACCTCTATCTAATGCACGGTAAAACCTATCAGTTATTACTGTTAGCACATCAGCTGTAGAACGAGAAGACCGAAATCCATATTGATGATCAGAAAGTAAGTTATTTGATTCAAGATGAGAGATTAAGTGTTTGTTGATTAAAGATTCAAAAACCTTGCTTATGACAGGAAGAAGACTAATGGGACGGTAGTTAGATGAATCAGATCGCTCTCCGGAATTTTTGAAAATAGGGATAACAGATGCTGCTTTCCAGCATGATGGAAAACAAGACTCTGATAAGCACTTGTTAAATAGTTTAGAAAGTATGGATGAAAGCTCCGGAGAACACCTCTGCAAGACTACAACAGGAATGTTGTCAGGACCACAAGCTGTTGAAGAGTCTAAGCAGGAAATTACTTTAGATACAGAAGCTGAAGTGATGCGAATGTCAAGCAAGGGATCAACCTGTTTGACGGCTATGTCAGGTAAAACGCAACTAGTGGAATCAAGAGATGATATTGATGAAAAGTTCTTAGCAAACAATTCAGCTTTGTCTTTAGGTGAGGTGACAAAGTCTGAACCATACAAGAGAGAAGGAATAACAGATTTGCCCTTATTATTGATACTGTTAAAGATTCTCCAGAAGTCTCGAGAGCCTAATTTTTGTGATGAGATACGAGATTTAATGACCTGGGAATAGCGAGCTTTGGCGTCAGACAAAACCTTTTTACAATGGTTTCTGGCGATAGTGAACAGATGTCTGTTTTCTGGAGAATTGTTTTGCTGATAGATATGGAAGTAACGGTTTCGATTAGAAATTGCTGCAGCGCAATGTGAGAAAAACCAAGGAGAAGAGTGAGGCTTGACCTGGAATCGTCGAGAGGGAATAAAAGATTCCATGCCAGCCTGAATCCACGAAGTTATGTAAGAAGCACATTTGTCAGCAGGAAGACGAAAGATTTCTACCCAAGGGCCATCACGAAGAAAATCACGGAAAGAGTCCCAGTCAGCTTTAAGGTAGTTGTATGTGGTACGATGATAGGGGGATTCTGATGAAGTAGAAGAATTTGATAATAGTTTTAGAGAGATCAAACCGTGATCAGAAGTACCTAAGGGTGAATGTGGAGAAATTGAGCACTGACTAGGATCCAAAACAAGACATAAGTCGAGTAGAGAAGGTAAATGATTAGGGTTGTCTAGAAAACGAGTTTGAAAGTTGACTATTTGAGTTAGAGATTGAGAAAGGCAAAAGTTGAGGGCCTTAACGCCAGCAGAGTCACTGACACTAGAGCCAAGCCAATTGGTGTGATGGGCATTAAAGTCACCAACAACGACCATATTGGCCGATGGATAAAGAGAGAGGGCTTGGTCAATTTGATCAGAAATAGCATCAAGAATAGTGCAACCTTGGGATGAAGGAGAGCGATATAGAACAAAGAGAAAGGCGATAGAGTGAAGTTGTGCTAAACGAAAGCACATAAATGAATAGTCTGTAGATTCAAACCTAGTTTCACGACAAATGGGTGAGTTCTTACGAATGTAGATGCCCAGGCCAAGCATGTGATTATTGGAGTCTTTACGAATTAAAGGAAGATAACCATCAACACTAAGATCACAAGATGGGACAGCCGAACTCAAATTAGTCTCACAAAGAGCAAGTAGGTCTGGTGAACTTTGCAAGAGATAAGACTCAACCGAAGAAAAGTTACTTCGAAGACCACGAATATTAGTAAATGATAGGTTTAGAGAACTTGGTGATGACAATGGTTTTTTGTGTTTTTTAGTTTTAGGTACTTTAGTCATTTTAAATTTATAAAGAACTTGACTCAAGTATAGATAGTACTCAGTACACTATTTAACAACTAAGCAATAGCCTCATTACTATTAATAAACCCTAAGCCGTAACAAAGGGCTCCAAATGTGGCCTCTGCAATGCACACCAAAAGTACAAACAGGGACACCATCCATGCGCAACATGGCACTGTTAGTACTCTGATATTTTTCGGCTGTTGATGGAATCAGCCTCTCTGAGAGCTATCACAGAGTTCGGGAAACCTGACTACCAGCCGGTCTCAGAACCATAAAACTGAGTTTTAGAGCTGTACCCTCATTAGGAGATAATAGAATGAGTTGCCCAGTCATAAAAATAGAGACACAAGCAATACCCACGCATTGAGTCAAGAAGATCCAGCGTTCAACATCCTAAACTGGAAACAATGTATTAAAAATACATCTGCGCCAGCCTAATAGATGAGGAAGGGGTGCGAGGCTGGTCAACAGATAGAATCTGTTTACCCCTTAAGTCTTTGCCTAGGAGGCCTTCTACAAGACAGCAGCTGGATGCATGTAACATCTGCCCAAGATGAGTATTTTTATCGAGACACCATCTCTAGCCTTTACTCAACCAAGAGCCCCAAGGCAGGGGGTGTTTTAAATCGGAGTTAACTTCTCCTAGCCTTTGCCTAAAAAAGCGTATCCTACAAGGCAGCAGGACATGGAGCAGGTTGTATAAACAGCATATTATACAGCTTGTCTGGACAGCATATTATACAGCTGTTTGATCGCTTTACTATGCAAATATAAGCAACATATAAGCTTATTGAATTTCAAAGAAAAAAAAATTAGAACCATAATATGACAATGTATAAATTTTTGCAACACTTTTATATACAAACTTTTCAGTTTATGTTCTTTTAACTAAAATTAATAAAAAAAATCAACATGAGTCTTTAAAAATCTATATGAAAAGTGGATACAATAAAGTTTTTGATACAATGTATTGATTCAAAACTTCTATGTTTTTACATAAATATGATTGAAATACTTTAATAAAATAAAAATACATCAGCCCAATAAAACAATCTCATTAAATAAATAACTATAGAATTAAAACTCCATTTTTGCATTAATGTACTTAAACAAAAAGTTATTTTAGCATAAAAATAATATTAAACATTATTTACTTATAGCTAGCAATAAATAATTTACTGAGTTAGCTCCAAAGTTCCTTTACGTGAAAAACACCATGCCAATCTTTCTTCGTCGTTGTTGGGAATATCTTCATCTTTTTCAAAACCCATGAAATAGACTGAAAATTTCATTGCTGGAAAGTCCAACTTATGTAAAAGCCTAAAAAATTGAAAAAATTTTATAGATAATTTTCACAATTTTTTAAAAAACTAGACAAATAAACTATTTCACCTCATTCCAAGAACATTGCTGTAAAATACAAGAGATTTCTTAGGATCTTTCACCCTTAGCATTGTTTGTTGAAGATAAAATTGTTCAGTGTCTGGATCTCTTTTTGAAATACATGCCAACACTTCTTCTGTGGTCAAACCAGACATTTATAATATTTCTAAAATACATTTTTTATTTTAAAAAATGCTTTAAGGAAAGGAAAAATATAAAACAAATTTTAATATATGCCAGAGTTATCCACTGAAAACCAACAGCAATAAAAGTTTTTGCTAAGAAATAAATTTATAAGATTTTGAATAGTATATGGCAATATATGAATATGTATTTCTCAAGTTATTAACATTCATACTTTTTTAACTATTAAATACAATATATATTTTAAAAATACTCTTATCTATAAGAAAAAAGCATTGCAAAAATAAAATGGAAAAATAAATAAATGATACTGTAGGTCAACCAAGTTTTATAGTTAATGTTACGAGTGTGAAATTGCAACTAATAATAATATTCTATAATCAAGAAATAGTTGATTAAAAAAAAATCATAAATATCTTTTGTCAAATATAAATATCTTGATATAGTATATATACAACAAAATGTACTTTTGTTAAAATTTAACAAGAAAATTTCGAAAAGCTACTATTACATAGTAGTTTTTCAAAATTTAGTACATGTTTTAATTTGCTTGTATCAATAAATTATTGAATTATAATTAAATCACAAAAATTAGCAAATTATATTTGTTTAACTAAAAAAAATATTGTGAAAATAAAAAAACTATCAAGTGATATCAGTAAAAAGAAAAGTTATTCATTCATTTTTATTTCAAAGCAAACATGATTGTTTGCTTTAAAATAGAAATTGAGTAGATAATTAATATCTAGACAATCCTAGGTTTAGAAAAAAAAAATTATAGTAAAAAACAGAAGAAATACTTTTTGAAAAAAAAAAAATTCTTCTGTACTTATTATTTTCATATATTATTATTTTTCAAAAAATGTATAAAAAACACCTGTAGACTAGTATAAGTGTAAATTGCATGAAAACTTTTGATTATTATTTAAAGCAAAATGCATCATGGTGGTTAAATAACCTCTAGACATCATACAACTCATCTTAGGAATCCTCTGCAATGCAATGCACAAAAAAATAAATAATAATAAAAGCAAATATCCTTATCTAGCAGAGCAGGTCATGTGGCAGCAGTGAAGCAAAGTTCTGGATGTCTTCAATTTTAATCAAAATACAAGTAAAAAGATGAAGTAATAAAGGAAGTTATGTTTTCTTTATCTAAATTCCGAAAAAAATGTTAGTATAAAAAGAATATATATGACTGAATCTACAAAGGACAAGAAAAGATTAGGGAAAAGAATTTTTCAGGTCAATTTTGAAATGACAAATGTTTGTAAATAATAAAATGAAGTACAGTCAATACATCTTAGAGTATTTTTACTTAATGAGACACCTTTTACTACAGAGTGCCTCATGAAATAATAATTCTGTTCAACTGTTTTCAGCTGCTGTTATCTACAAAATTAATAGCAAAACATATCCAATGCTAGTTTCATGTGTGACTATCTATTAATACCATAAACACACATGGCCCATTATTTACGTCATTCCATAAATTGAGTGTGGCGCTCATTTAATGTCACGAGTCTCACGCATCAACTTTTTTTTCAGGAGGGGGGAGGCATGTGACTATGAGAGTTTTTTAAATATTGCTGCATCATGAAAAAAACCGTTGACCACATTGCAACAAATTTTAAAAATAGAACATTAAACTTCCAGCATCCTGGAATGGACCTAGATAAACACTAGAAAATGAGCATCTATTTGAGATGAATTTCAGCACAGCATAATACTTTACTCTTTTAGAATACTCATAGATTAACTCATTGTAATAAAAAAAAATACTGTATTAAAAAAAAATATACTGTATTAAAAAGTTCTTCGCAAAATACAGATCTGTTTGTATTTTCTACAGTATTTTTCCCCATTACGATGAGTTAATCTATGAGTATTCTAAAAGTAAGTTGATTTATGTTTGTTTGTGTTCTGTTTATACTTTAATGCAGCGTGAGCTCAGTAACTAACTACTTACTCCAACTACAAAACGTTCACTCACCTTAGACTCCTGTATTTTGTTAGATGCAGTGTTTTTCCTAATGCACTTCCAAAATGTCATGCCTGGTTTTCTCAAAGTACTGTTGCTGGAAGTAACTCCTTTTAACTACTCCAGGTCAGGTCAGGATAATCGAGATCAATCTTGCTACTGGTATCACGTAACCCAGTACCACCTGCCACAAGCCCTGCTGCCTTGCAGAGTGTGCTCTTCTTAAGCAAAGGCTAGGAGAAATAAACTCCGACTTAAAATTCCCCTGCCTTGGGGCTCTTGGTTGAGTAAAGGCTAGAGATGGTGTCTCGATAAAAACACTCATCTTGGGCAGATGTTAACTGCATCCAGCTAAACATCCCCTGCCTTGGGGCTCTTGGTTGAGTAAAGGCTAGAGATGGTGTCTCGATAAAAATACTCATCTTGGGCAGATGTTAACTGCATCCTGCTACTGTCTTGTAGAAGGCCTCCTAGGCAAAGACTTTAGGGGTAAGCAGAAAAGTTCTGCTAACCAGCCTCGAACCCCTTCTTCATCTATTAGGCTGGCGTAGATGTAACCTGTGTTACATTGTTTCCTGCCTAGGATGATGAATGCTGGATCTCCTTGACTCTACTCATAGAATTTTGCTTATGCCTCCTTGATAATGGCTATGCACCTCTTCTTGTTATCTCCATATGAGGGTACAGCTCTAAAACTCAGTTTAATGGTTCTGAGGCCGGCTGGTAGTAAGGTTTCCCGAACTCTGTGGTAGCTCTCAGAGAGGCTGATTCCATCAACAGCTGCAAAATATCAGAGTATTAACAGTGCCATGTTGCGCATGGATGGTGTCCCTGTTAATGCTTTTGGTGTGCATTGTCAAGGCCACATAAGGAGCCCTATGTCACGGCTTAGGGTTAATTAACAGGACTGAGACAACTGCATAGCTCATTGATTAGGAGGCTGTGCTCTATCTATGAATGAGTCAAGTTCTCATTAAACCCAAATCATGACCAAAGTAACCAAAAATTTAAAACCTAAAAAACCATCCCCATCACCTAAATATTTTAAAATATCTTTTACAAATATTCGCGGTCTACGAAGCAACTTTCCATCAGTTGAGTCTTACCTCCTGCAAAATTCACCAGACTTGCTTGCACTCAGTGAAACAAATTTAAGTTCTGCAATTCCTTCTTCAGATGTCAGTGTTGATGGGTACTATCCTTTGATTCGTAAAGACTCCAATAGTCACATGCTAGGTTTAGGGGTATACATACGCATTAATTCCCCTATTTGTCGTGAAATCAGGTTCGAATCCTTTGACCATTCTTTTATGTGCTTTCGCCTAGCACCTCTTCACTCTATCACCTTTCTCTTTGTTCTTTATCGTTCTCCTTCTTCCCATGACTGCACTCTTTTAGATGTTATCTCTGATCAAATTGACCATGCCCTCTCTCTTTACCCCTCTGCCAATATTGTTGTTGTTGGTGATTTTAATGCCCATCACACTGAATGGCTTGGCTCTAACACCACCGATCCTGCTGGTACTAAAGCCTTTAACTTCTGCGTTTCTCAATCTCTTACTCAGATAGTTAACTTTGTGACTCGTTTTCCTGACAACCCTAATCATTTACCTTCACTCCTTGACTTATGTCTTGTCTCTGACCCTAGCTTATGTTCAGTTTCTCCCTTTTCTCCCTTAGGTGGTTCTGACCATGCAATGATCTCTATAAATCTTTCTTCTTGTACTTCTTTTTTGGGCTCACCTTATCATCGCACCACCTACTACTACCCTAAAGCTGACTGGGATTCCTTTCGTGATTTTCTTCGTGATGGTCCTTGGGCTGATGTTTTTTCTCTCTCAGCTGACAAATGCGCCTCCTACATTACCTCCTGGATTCAGGCTGGAATGGAAGCTTTTATTCCTTCGCGTCGGTTTCAAGTCAAGCCTCATTCTACTCCATGGTTTTCTCCTTCTTGTGCGGCTGCTATATCCAATCGTAATCATTTTTTTCATCTTTTTCAAAAGAACAACTCTCTTGAGAACAAACGGCTATTTATTGTTGCAAGAAATCGGTGTAAAAAGGTGCTTTCTGATGCTAAACTCCATTATTCTCAGTTCACTAAATCTCGCATCTTATCGCAGAAGTTAGGCTCTAAAGACTTTTGGAAAATCTTCAACAGCATTGTTAACAAGGGTAGATCTAACATTCCATCTCTCATTCATGGGACTGATCTTGTTACCTCTCCCAGGGATAAGGCAGAACTGTTTGCAAAGAACTTTTCTTCTAATTCCACTCTTGAATCTTATGGACATTCTCTTCCTTCCATTCCAGTCAAACAGGTTGACCCATTGTTAGACATTCAAATCACTCCGGCTTCTGTTGCTAAAGTCATATCTCAATTAAACTCGTCTACAGCTTGTGGTCCAGACAACATTCCTGTCACAGTCTTGCAGAATTGTTCTCCAGAACTTTCTTCGGTTCTCTCTAAACTATTTAACAAGTGTTTGACTGAGTCTTGTTTTCCTGCTTGTTGGAAAATGGCATCTGTAGTTCCAATATTCAAAAACTCTGGAGAAAATTCTGACCCCTCCAATTATCGTCCGATCAGTCTTCTTTCTGTTATTAGCAAGGTCTTTGAGTCTTTGATCAACAAATTCCTCACATCTCATCTTGAGTCAAATAAACTGCTGTCAGACAATCAATACGGTTTTCGATCCTCTCGCTCTACGGCCGACTTGCTAACTGCTGTAACTGAAAGATTTTATCGTGCATTAGATGGAGGCGGTGAGGCTAGGGCTATTGCTCTCGACATATCTAAAGCTTTCGACAAAGTTTGGCATGCTGGTCTTCTCCATAAGCTTGCTTCATATGGTGTTTCTGGGAAAGTTTTTGAGATTATCAAATCATTTCTTTCTAACCGGTTTATTAAAGTCATCCTTGAAGGCCAACACTCTTCTTTATTTCCAGTAACTTCTGGGGTTCCCCAAGGTTCCATCCTGGGCCCTGTTTTGTTTCTTATCTACATAAACGATCTTCCTGACAACCTTTCATCTAAAGTAGCTCTTTTTGCTGATGACTCAACTTTATA